TAGAGCTCCCAGGGAGCTCTGACATACCATGTTGGAGCTCCCACGCAGCTCCTACTAGCTAAAACCGGAGGAGCTGTAGTACAAGTCGACGTCTAACTTGATATGTTGCACCTCCCTGGGGATACCCCAGGGAGGTGTAACATATCAAGTTAGGCGTCGAATTGTATTACAGCTCCTCCAGTTTTGGCTAGTAGGAGCTGCGTGGGAGCTCTAACATGGGATGTTAGTAGAGCTCCCATCTTCAGGCCGGCAGCTGGGAGTACTTGCTCAACCATCGCAAAGGCTTGCGGAGCCAGAGGGGGCGGTGCGAGTTGAATATCACGTTGGCGCGTCAGGAGGAAGAACACGATGAGGCGTTGGATCATGAGCGCCGCCTGCGCTGGGTCCAACATAAGCAGCAGCAGTTGGACAATGACGGCATGATGATCTTCGACCGTCCAGGAGTCTGGGAGGGCCAGGAGAGACCCCACGGGTGCCTGGACGCGACCGCGCGCAGGCAGTTGAGCGATGAGGAGATCAGGTGGAACACTCAGATGATAAGACTGGGGGCGTCGGAACCCGCCACGGGCGACTGGGGTCGAAGACTGTGTACGGCACCACTGGGATCTGCAGCGGTGGATGAGGCAGCAGCGGCGCCTGTCAAACGCCCAGAGTCGCAAAAGAGAGAGGCGTCGCTGCAACAGCCGCTGCAACAGCCGCTGCAACAGCCGCTGCAACAGCCGCCGCAACAGCCGCTGCAACAGCGCAACAGGCGCTGAACAGGCGCTGCAACAGCCGCGCAACAGCCGCTGCAGACAGCCGCCCGCGCTGCGACAGCCGCTGCAGTAGTAGAGCACACCCAGCTTTCCTGTAGCGCAAGCACCTCGGCTCAAGGCATTTCTTGCAGCGCCTGCAGGCTGCCATGCCAGAGATGGGGCGCAAGGGCAATGGCAAGGGCGCCAGGTCAGACCAGCCAAATCTGGGCTAGCTGTAGTACCCCCCCCCCCCCCCCTCCCCCCCCCCCCCCCCCCCCCCCCCCCCCCCCCCCCCCATGTCTGATATGAGCTCCCATGGAGCTCTAACATACCACGTTAGAGCTCCCATGGGGCTCTAGCATGGCAGGTTAGAGGACGTTAGGGCTACATTGGAGCTCCAACATGCCATGTTAGAGCTCACCTGGAGCTCTAACATGGTATGCTACATGATGTTAGAGCTCACAGGGAGCTTTAACATGTCATGTTCGAGCTCCCAGGGGGCTCTACAATGTCATGGTAGAGCTCCCTGGAAGCTCTAACATGGCATTTTAGAGGGTGGTAGAGCTCCATTGGAGCTCTAACATACCATGTTCGAGCTCCCATGGGGATCTAAAATGGCATGCTAGAGGATGTTAGAGCTCCCAGGGAGCTCTGACATACCATGTTGTTAGAGCTCCCACGCAGCTCCTTCCTACAAGCCAAAACTGGAGGAGCTGTAGTACAAGTCGACGTCTAACTTGATATGCGACACCTCCCTGGGAGGTGTAACATATCAAATTAGTTGTAACAGCTGGGCCCTCAGGCAACCCGAGCGACATGGTGCCCGACGACGCCGAGGAGCCCCGCGACGCGGCGCCCGAGGGGGGCGCCCTTCCAGCCGCGCTCGTCGGACCTCGTCCGAGCCGCGTTGGGGCGAGCCGCGCTCGGAGCCGACCTCGTCCGAGCCGCGCTCCTCCAGCGCCACATGAGGAGGCGCATGAGGAGAGCCCGATGGATGAGAGCGACGGCGCTACCCATGAGGAGGAGGACGAGTTTGCCGAGGAGGACGGCGTGACATCCAGTCGCTCGGGCCCGCCATCAGAGTGGGGCTGCGGCGATATCCAGTACTGCGCCTACCAGTACGAGTGCATGCGCCAGCAGGCGGGCGGGGGACGTGATCCTCAGCTCGCCCAGGAGGAAATGCGCGAGCAGGCGGAGGCGCTGGGGAGAGCCATGCGAGAGTCGATGACGCGGATGCAGGCGTGGGTAGTGTCGGCTGAAACATCGGCTGCAACAGCTCCTGGTGACGTGCTGGTGGCTGCCAGGCTGCGTGATGAGCCTGCGCTCTTGATGCCTGGAGCGGCCTCTGGTGCTCCTGTCGCGCCACCTATTTCAGGATCACCGTCGGCTGCGCCATCTGCAGATCATCGGGATTGGCAGGCAGCCGCGCCGCGGCGGGAGAAGAAGAGGGGCCAGCAGGGCTTAGTAGTCCCTGAGGATTACGGCCTCCCCAGGACGAAGCCGAATATGCCTGAGCCGCCTGGCCAATTGCGTGCTCCAGGCCAGGGGCCATCGCAGCGGAAGCTGTAACAGCGGAAGCGGGCCCTGGCTGCGTCGTGAAGGAGGCGTCCACCGTGCAGAAAGGAGACGTCGTCTTCTGCCTGGTGCAACCGCAGCACCAATACTACGCGCACATTGTGCTCAAGGCAGAATGGGACTTCCACAGGCGCGAGTACAAGTACAGGATCGGCGGCATGAGGCAGAACATCAATGGCTATTGTTTTTTTGGGAGTCGCGCCCATGTATTACACGCACCCTGACGAGGCAAAGCAACATCTGCGAGCCTCGGTGGGACCAGCCCGCGTCTGGGAGCAGCTGACAGCTTGCACAGACTGTCACAGTAAATCGCGGGGCCTCTCCGAGCGCGCTTCTGGTAGACTGCAACAGTCGACTGCGACACGCCAGTTCTGGTTTAGGCATTGCTTCTGTCAGCGCCAGTGCTCGCTCGACCTGCACAGATGCGCCTATCGGATGAGCCCTGCCTTCCGCTATGCAACAGATACGCACGCAATTCGAGTACGCGGCACCCTCGCACACATTTCGAGCGGGGTTGTGGGCGGCTAGCATGATGACTGAACACCGCAAGTTCTCGAGCGCCTGACCCGGTCGGCGAAGTGCTTCCAGTCGCGTCGGGTGGTGACTGTCTGTCAGATACCCTTCGGCGCCGGTGACCTGATGAAATTTGCCTTATACTGTAACAGCGGCACGCCTGTGCGGCCCACCGCATACGCTTTGACGCTGTGCGGACTGGGCATGTCTTGCGGTTTTCCTTGGTGCTGAGCCGGCTGCACGACTGAGGTGTGTGTGTGTTTGTATATGATTAGCACACATCATATCAACACGAAGTACATGTATTGTGTGTGGTATTGTCCTCTCGTGCGTCTCATCTTAGGAGCGTGCCACTCGTTCAGGGACCCTGGCATCCAGCTCGCTGGCCTCAGGTTGCCAGTTGACTTACTCAGGCCAGCTCGCTGGCCTCAGGTTGCCAGTTGACTTACTCAGGGGGATGGCAGTGGTGAGGGGGATGGGAAGGGGCTGGGACGGGGACGGTTGTGCGGAATCGGCAGAGTCTTTGTGGCCAGCGCTCCGCTGCAACAGCCGCACACATTTCGAGTGGGGTTGTGGGCGGCTAGCATGACTGAACACCGCAAGTTCTCGAGCGCCTGACCCAGTCGGCGAAGTGCTTCCAGTCGCGTCGGGTGGTGACTGTCTGTCAGGTACCCTTCGGCGCGGGTGACCTGAAGTTATGCAGAGAAGCGTGACAGCAAAACGGCGAGCTTCTGCGACTCGTCTCCTCTCGCCGTCTGCTGCGCCTCCGCTGCAACAGCTCCTGCGCCTCCCCGCCCCCAAGGTCCCTGGCGGCGGGCGGCGCTGCCGCGGGCGGCCGCGGCACCCCCGCAGGCCCACGTGGGGGAACCAGGATGACGATGACGAGGAGGACGAGGCTAGGGGGAGGAGCAGGAGGAGGAGTCCAGGCGGGAGGAGGGGGGTGGAGCGCATCATGCTCTGAGCTAAGGTGCCCGCGAGAGCATCTGTTACTGGCGCGAGTGGGAATGGGCCCACGACAGGACTCTGCGCACGTGCTGCGCATGGCTGGAACAGCGAGCGCAGGCGCCCCCATGCATCCCTGAGCTCAGAGATGAGGAGAAAGACGCCCATATTCAGATCAACTGTATTCCTGATGCAGATTGTCTCACCCTCCAGGCCGCTAGGCGTTAGGCGCTTGGATGCTTGGGCTGCCTGGTTCGAATTGTTCTAGCCTCTAGCCTTCGGCTGTCTGGTGCCCAGTACCTCCCTGGTCGCCACCAGCTGGGCGCAGCAAGCGAGGAGGAAGAGGCCACCAGAGAGGGCACTAGGGCCCTAGGGCACCACACCCGGGACCCCACAGAGCCCCGAGCACCCCAGCAGATCCGCGACAGGATTCGCATCCTTACATCATCTTGGCATATTGGCCCAAGCTGGGGCAAGAGCCATTGGGGGATCCTTTATTCAGCACCTCATCCCAGGGGTCTCCCAGCGCGGACTCGCAGTCGGTGTCTGCCTGCCTTCTGCGAGACATGTTCGGCGGCTCGGATGACGAGGCCACTGAAGGTATGACGCTTTATGTTGAAGCCAGAGTTGCTGTGGGCGTTCGGACCGTGGCCGCCGCCGCTGCGAGTCCGCAACAAGCCAGCCAGGGAGGTTTTGCAGCGGGCGTGGGCGCCGCTGGCGGCACCCGCAGCAGCGCGAGATCCAGACAGCATCGCTTCCTCTAGACATAAGGGCTTGCAAGAGCCGTCGGCATCGCTTCCAGAGATCAGGGCCTGCGAGATCCAGACAGCATCGCCCTCTCCAGCACAGGTGCATCCAGCATCAGCATCGTCGCTTCCTCCAGGGAGCGTCGGAGACGGCGGAGCAGCTCGAGGGCCTTGCGGCGTGAACGTCGAGGTCAAGGTCATGGCCAATGACACCATCAGCGCCGATGGCATGGGCAATGGGAACAATGACACATTTTCGTTCATCACAGATCGCCCGGGGCTCGACCTTTCACGCGGCGGGCCGCCTACCGACGCTGTCGAGGGCCGAGCAGGATGCGGCGACGGTGGCGACAAGGCCTCTGGAGTTCGGAGCCCGAGGGCCTTTGCAGGGGTCGATGGCGGCAGCGCATTTCAGTTCGCGAAGGTCGCCTGTTTCGACGACAACGGCGAGAGAGTGACAGCGCCTGCCAGGCGTCGCATGCGCTCGCGCAGCCGAGAGACGCGGCTTAAGATGATGTGGGAAGGCGCCCGGAGGACGCTCGACAGGTGCTTAGTGACTGTCGCGGCATGCAATCGATGTTTGTACACCAGCCCCTCGTCGACATCGACGTTGGTCTAGTGATGAAGCGCGTGCGGCACCTCCACGATCGTGCCATCGCCTCTGGGCGCTCCGTCTACATCGGCACGACGAGCGACCCTTCATGGCGATGGAATGGAGGACGGGGGTGGCGTGGAAACGACCGAAGCTTCATGCGCGGGCACAAGCTCAGCTACGATGGGATGCAAGTGGTCGCGTCCTTCCCCGGCAAACAATGCGGAGAGGTTGAGAAGCATGTGATCGCGCACTTCCCCCGTGCTGACAACAAGGTCGCGTCGCAGCAGGGACTTGCGGTCAGGCGCTGCGCATACAGCTTCCTATATGTCTGTAGGACATTATGAGCGCCATTTGCGAAGCTGCCCAGCTCCGCTGTCTTGCGCGCGCAGTGGCCACTACCCAGGCGTGGTACGTGTGGGGGCGACTGAGGCTGCGATGCAGAAGTGACAGAATCGCCAGTACGCTGCAACAGCCGCTGCAACAGCCGCTGCAGTAGTAGAAGAGCTCAACACAGAAACTGGCGAGCGTGAGGACGATCTCCCGTTTCGACCTCACCTCTGGCTGGAACGACTGAGGTTGCGATGCAGAAGTGACAGAATCGCCAGTACGCTGCAACAGCCGCTGCAACACAGCCGCTGCAACAACACCAGCCGCTGCAACAACAGCCGCTGCAACAACAGCCGCTGCAACAACAGCCGCTGCAACAACAGCCGCTGTAACAACAGCCGCTGTAACAACAGCCGCTGCAACAACAGCCGCTGCAACAACAGCCGCTGCAACAAGAGCCGCTGCAACAACAGCCGCTGCAACAACAGCCGCTGCAACAGCAGCCGCTGCAACAACAGCCGCTGCAACAACAGCCGCTGCAACAACAGCCGCTGCAACAGCCGCTGCGACAGCCGCTGCGACAGCCGCTGCAGTAGTAGAGCACACCCAGCTTTCCTGTAGCGCAAGCACCTCGGCTCAAGGCATTCCTTGCAGCGCCTGCAGGCTGTCATGTCAGAAATGGGGGCTAGCGCAGGGGGGCATCCTGGCCCATGTCCAGAAACCGTCACCATGGACCCTGACAACACTGGACGCATTGATGCTCCATGGCTACAAGTCAAGGGGTACGTTTCGAAGACGAATTGAGAACCTAATGAGCCCTGGTGGCACTGTGCACCGTGCGACAAATGGGCAGCCCCGACGCGCCATAATTCGCAGGACCACATCAAGAATGTAAAGAATAAGTATCTCTGGTTCCATCATGCTTGCCCACAGGGTTCTGGTGAGGACAAGACCGCATGGTGCTCTACCATCATGAACACGGTGGAGCTCCACCCGAGCTACGTCTAGAAGAAGTGGGAATACGATGAAGCGGAGGACTGGAGGCCGACGAGGAAGGCCAAGGTCAACAAGGCCAGAGAGGGCAGAGGAGAGCAATGGCAAAGTGAAGGCCATCAGCAAGAAGCTGGAGCAGCTGCAGGAGAGAACACCTGGAAAAGCTGGAACAGCTCAAGAGCTGCGTCATCAAGAGCTGCAACAGCAGGAGCTGATACAGCAGGAGCACAGCAGTGGCAGCAGCAGGACGGGCTAACCACCGTTATCACCACGATGCTCAATTCCTTGACCAACGCACAGAGCAACAAGGACAAGAAGATGGATGAGATTCTGGCCCTCCTGCGGGCACAGGGACAGATGCTCATGCATCTCCAGCGGGCACAGGACAACCTGCAGAAGAAAGTCGAGGAGCTCGATCGGAAAGTGGAGGAGCTCAAGCAGAAGGACAAACAGCAGCACCAGTGAGCTCAGCAGCAGGACAAGTGACCTCGCATGGGCGTCTGGTAGCCGATGCCAGAGGCGTGCAGCCCGGCTCGCGCGCTGGCTCTTTCGCCGCGCTGGCGCGGCGCAGGGGGCTGGAATATGGCTCCTGAAGTCTTGGAAGGCTTTGGGCTTGTTGTTCGCAAATTGGGTATGCTCCTTATGGTCCCCACAGCGCCCACCTGTCGGAGCCCCACCTCGAGCTCGATCCTCGGCTACTTCGTTTTGGGAGCAGGCGTTGCTATATTGATTTCAGGCGCTGGCTTCATGCGTCCACGGAGTTCTAACATATCATGTTAGAGCTCCCACGGAGCTCTAACATACGATGTTAGAGCTCCATTGGGGCTCTACCATAATCTAACATGCTATGTATGTTAGAGCTCCACTGGAGCTCTAACGTGCCATGTTAGAGCTTCCAGGAGGGAGCTCTAATATAATCTAGCGTGCTATGTTAGAGCTCCGTTGGAGCTCTAACGTGCAATGTTAGAGCTCACTGGGAGGTCTAACATGCAAGTTTAGAGGTGCCGGGGAGTTCCCTGGCATCACATGGTTCAGCTCCCAGGGAGCTATACATAATAACATGACATGTTAGAGGTCCCACGGAGTTCTAACACCCGATGTTAGAACTCCCAAGGAGCTCCAACATATTCTAACTTGCTATGTTAACAGCATATTAGAGTTGCCTCCCATACTCGATGGGACTTCTAACATAGCATGTTCGAGCTCCCATCGAGCCGTCCCCCCCGCCGTCGTCGTCGTCGTCGTCGTCCCATTGGGCACGTCCGCATGCCGTCCCCCCGCCATCGTCGTCGTCGTCGTGATGATGATGATGATGATGGTGATGGTGGTGGTGATGATGGTGATGGATGATGGTGGTGATGGTGATGGAGATGATGTTGATTGTATATATATATACGATCGGATAGTCGCCATTCGAAATTATCATTATCATCGTCGGAAACATCGTCATCATCACAATCAGAAAAACATGACATCGCCATAATCACAATCCAAAAAAACATCAAACAACAGGAAGGACCATAATCACATCAGAAACACTTGGAAACATCAGCCTAAACCAGCCCTAATCCCAGCCAGTCGAGGGGGCCGCTTCCGACGAGGAGGCCGGGGGCTCTAACAAGCCATGTTAGAGCTCCCACGGATCTCTAACAAGCCATGTTAGAGCTCCTTGGGAGCTCTAACATAGCATGTTAGAGCTCCCAGGGAGCTCTCACATACTCGAACATGCTATGTTAGAGCTCCGTTTGGGGCTCCAACATACCATGTTAGAGCTCCCAGGGAGCTCCCACTTAGCTTTAACATGCTATGTTAAAGATCCGCTGGAGCTCGGTATTTTAGAGCTCCCAGGGGGCTCTAACATGGGAGCTCTATCTAATATAGCATGTTAGAGCTCCCAGGGAGCTCTAACATACTCGATAATGCTATGTTAGAGCTCCGTTGGAGCTCTAACATACTGGAACATGCGATGTTAGAGCTCCGTTGGGGCTCTAACATGCCATGTTAGAGCTCCCACGGAGCTTTAACATACCATGTTAGAGCTCCCATGGGGGCTCTGACATGCTCGAATCCTCGGCGCCTGTTAGAGCTCCGTTGGAGCTCTAACAAGCCATGTTAGAGCTCCCACGGAGCTCTAACATACCATGTTAGAGCTCCCAGGGAGCTCTAACATACTGGAACATGCTATGCTAGAGCTCCGTTGGAGCTCTAACAAGCCATGTAGAAGCCCACGGGAGCTCTAACATTCCATGCCAGCTCCCAGGGAGCTCTCACATACTGGAACATGATATGTTAGAGCTCCCAGGGAGCTCTAACATACTCGAACATGCTATTTTAGAGCTCCGTTGGAGCTCTAACAAGCCATGTTAGAGCTCCCACGGAGCTCCTGACATACCATGTTCGAGCTCCCAGGGAGCTCTGACATACTGGAACATGCTATGTTAGAGCTCCGTTGGAGCTCTAACATACCATGTTAGAGCTCCCACGGAGCCCTAACATACCATGTTAGAGCTCCCAGGAAGCTCCCACTGAGCTCTAACATGCTATGTTAAAGCTCCGCTGGAGCCCAGTATTTTAGAGCTTCCATGGGGGCTCTAACATGGAAGCTCGATTTTAGCATGTTAGAGCTCCCTGGGAGCTCTAGCATCATATAACATGCTATGTTAGAGCTCACACGGAGCTCAAATATGCCATGTTAGAGCTCCCAAGGAGCTCTAACATACTGGAACTTGCTATCTTAGGGCTCCGTTGGAGCTCTAACATGCCATGTTCGAGCTCCCACGGAGCTCTAACATACCATTCTAGAGCTCCCAAGGGAGCTCTAACATACCCGAACATGCTATGTTAGAGCTCCGCTGGAGCTCTAACATACCATGTTAGAGCTCCCAGGGAGCTCCCACTGAGCTCCCACTGAGCTCCGTTGGAGCTTGGTATTTTAGAGCTCCCAGGGGGCTCTAACATGGGAGCTCCAATCTCGCATGTTAGAGCTCCCAGGGAGCTCTAACATACTCGAACATGCTATGTTAGAGCTCCGTTGGGGCTCTAACAAGCCATGTTAGAGCTCCCACGGAGCTCTAACATACCATGTTAGAGCCCCCAGGGAGCTCTAACATACTGGAACATGCTATGCTAGAGCTCCGTTGGACCTCCAACATGCCATGTTCGAGCTCCCACTGGGCTCTAACATGCCATGTTAGAGCTCCCAGAGGGCTCTGACATACTCGAACATGCTATGTTAGAGCTCCGTTGGAGCTCGAACAAGCCATGTTAGAGCTCCAACGGAGCTCTAACATACCATGTTAGAGCTCCCAGGGAGCTCTAACATACTGGAACATGTTATGTCAGAGCTCCGTTGGAGCTCTAACATGCCATGTTAGAGCTCCCACGGAGTTCTAACATACCATGTTAGAGCTCCCAGGGAGCTCTAACATAATGGAACATGCTATGTCAGAGCTCCGTTGGAGCTCTAACATATTATATTACAGCTCCCAATGAGCTCTAACATAGCATGTTAGAGTTCCCAGGGAGCTCTAACATAATCGAACATGATATGTTAGAGCTTGAGTAACGGGCAACGGGGACTTAAGGCCACCCAATACACTTGCGCATCCTCCTCATCCTCGCCCCCCCCTCATCCTCCTCCTCCCCCTCATCGTCATCCTCCCCCTCCTTTAGTGGGGGAGGGGGGGAAGGAAATGTGCGCCCGCGCCCATTTCGGCACAACCCTCAGGAGAATCGTCGCCCACGGGGGGCTCCAAATGTGTAGTTGTAATGAACTTCTGTCGTAGCAGTGCCGCTGTAAGTAAGGCTCCAGGTTCGTCTCTTCTGATAAGCCTGCGCGCGTGGGAGGGGGGGGGGAGGATGAGGGGGGACGAGGGGGGGGGGGGGGGGGGAGGGAGAGGCGGAGGGAGGAAGAGGAGGAATGCAGGAAAGGTGGGAGAGAAGGGGGATGGAT